TCTTTCTTTCTTTGCTTTTGTTTTGTCATCTTCAGTATTTTTGGTGTACATAGTTTCGAGGGATCCTATTCAAGAAGATGTGTGTGGTCTGATGTTCCGGGATTTCCAAATGTGCCTGATCCGAATATGACTAAAAACATTTTTCAAGATCAATTTTGTGGAGGATATATCGACGCAAATGGTAACGAAAGACCCGCTTTTAATTCTGGTTCATTACATCCCAAAGGATATATTTGTCCAATAAATCAAGTCTGCATGGTTAGCTTAAACAAATTTCCTTATGACCTATTGCAATGTTTATTTTGAGTTTTTTAACTTGTTTTGCTTCTAAAAATTCAGACAGTAGGAAATCCATCCAACAACATGGTTTCCTTTGACAATTTTCTTCTATCATTTTTTCTGGTCTTTGTAATAGCTTCAAGTAAGAACATTTCTACATGTAACGAAGTCTCAAGAAACAAATCGCAAACAGTAACACGCACGCATATGTCTATTATCTAGCTCAAAATTGGACAAGCATAATGTATAACATTATGGATGCTGAATACGATTGGTCTAGCTTGTATTTTATCATAGCTGTCATCATCCTGGCTTTCTGGTTGATTAACTTCTTTGTTGCTGTGATCACTACAATGTTTGCCAAAATTCGGGAAGATTCTTCGCACTCGGCGTTTACATTATCCAAGCAAGTATCTTTAAACAAATTTTCTGATTCCAAATTCACGGTCATCTCATTAAATATACCTACCTCAACACGATATAACCATAGATCCGCTCCAATTTTAATGGATGACACCGATGGTTGGATTCTCAATGACAGTCAAAATGTGTCTCGGGAAAATTTCCTTAGTCGCCTTGTGAAATGGACAAAGTATGTGTGGGTCTTGTGCATCTTTATCGATGTCTTTATCATGGCGTTCAAAACTGCGGATATGGATGATGAGACAAAAACATTTATTAGTAAGTTGAGTATGGTTAAACCAAATTCCATATTCTTCTCATATTCACTTATCATCATATCTAGATCAATCTGAGACCATTGTCACAATAATTCTTGCCATCGAGATAATATTGAGATTCTGCTCATATCTTCCAAGATACCGATTTTTCTTTCATTTCAAAACAAACAACGTGGATCTAGTCTTGGCGATCGTCACTTGCATAATACAAATTCCGGTCATCAAGAATTCTTATGCGTACAACTATTTAACGATCTTTCAGATCGCACGCGTTTATCGCGTTCTTATTGCAATCCCACGTCTGAGAGACACGTTGGTAAAGTAAACCTAAATCAATCATTTACATCCTCACATTATCTATAACCTTTCTTAACTTGTAATTATCGTTTCTTCTTAAGATACGCGTATTAGGCAGTGTGACCGGTTTAGCCAATTTGATTTTCTTCATTATCATGATTAATTTCTTGGCGGCTCTAGTTGTAAGAACTGGTTAATTTCAATTTGAGATTTTTAAGCATCAATCTGTTTCAACAGCTCATCTGTGGATTTCGGTTATTAGGGAATTCAGTTATTACGCGGTGTCATCCCATATAATGATCCCAGCGGGGGTTCCAACGTTATGCGATTTAGTGATATCTACAATAGCTTTCTTACACTTTATCAGGTAACTAAAATTTGTTTCACCTTGATTTATTACGAATCTCACAAACTGATACATTTTTTTGCAATCAAAGATCTTTTCTTCAGAAAATTGGAGCGACATTTTATATAATGTGTTAAAGTACGAGTCCATTGTTGGTTCCCCAGTTACTGCCATAATAGCAGCTTTGTTTCTTGTGGCTTATGTCGCTTTGTCGAATTGTAAGTTTAACTTGGTCATTCCTGTCGTTAGAAAAAAAAAAAAGCTAAAGACAGAACGGATATATCTTTTTCAGTTATTCTTTTGAACATGTTCATCGCGGTCATAGAGGAAAATTTTGAAATAGCCGAAAAAGAGAAACACAAGAAGCAACTAGAGACCTTTCGCCGTAACGCCGACCCATCAAAGAAAGATGAGATCCCATATAAATGGAATATATACAAATATTTCGAGGCAAAACCTAAATCTCTGGTTGTGGAGTCTTTTCCATCTAATCTCGTATTTCATGTTCAAAAGAATCGCGTGAGAGATTTTCTCAGTTATGGGAA